CCCCAATTTTTTGGTCACGAACCGCCACTGACCACCAGTATCCCCCTTGTATACGCTACTGTTTTCACAACAATCTTATACAGACGTTCTTTTTTCAAGATAAATTCGCATTAAGCTAAGAAATAAAATTCCATAAAAAGCATTATTCGATGACTACTAGTATATTATTATTATTCACTTTTATAAGGCATTTATATTGCTAGTTGAGTACGGTTCGCAATTTTCCTTACTTGCTAGTCGTTTCCATCAGTTGTTACAATGCTTCTTGAGTTTGTAAGTTGGTGTATCTGTTTAGTGGCTTAAGTTTGTAAAGTGGTTCTTCTGACAAGTTTAATTATTGTCCTGACAGTTTTTTTACCACATCACCAAGTTCATACTCTGGATCTGAATACATTCCATTCTGAAGGTGGCATTAAAGTGACGAGGCTTTAAAGTTCGTGTACAAAATATTAAATTACAAAATAGATTGAGCTTGTTTGTGAAATTAGTTAACTCTCTTGATACGTACCTCGAATTCAATCAAGACACTCTTGTACGTTTCATTGTGGCATACTAAGAACAAACTTAATTAAATCGTCAGTTTATAACATGTGTCAACTGTTTAACAGTATTGGATCTGCGTGTGATCTACACATCGATTATGTCAATATAATCCATTTTCGTAATGCAATAAGCACAGGAAGTCATATGTGAGAATTCGACACGATGGGTATCAAATAGAGAGAGACTTAAGAATCGGAGTCTGTCGAAAGAAGATAGGCGTCTAGATACGTGAAATTTCGAAAAATGAGAAATCCCCTAAATGATCACACTTCTGATCGGGTTAAGCTTCTTTAGTGGTGTCTTTTTTTATATATAAATAAAAATTTCCTTGGTTTAATCGGTCATTGTTTTTATTTTATATCGTTTAGCACTACATATGTTCGGAAATTAATTTTTTTCCATCTTCGGGGTCAAAATTTAAAAAATTAAAAAAAAAACACAAGGGGACGATTACAAACAGTTTAAAAAATTTTAAAATAACAGAACCCCGTCTTTCTCTTTCAGCGTGTGAAGGTGTATTTTTTTTATTTTGGCCAGTTGTTTGTCTCTTCACCATTTTTTATTGTACCTTCTAATTCGGTTATGACAAATAAAATACAGCTGTCATTCAACATTGAAAAACAATCCATAACTGTCAGGCTCGTGCGTAGTAGATAAAAAGCGTTCTGGTTTTACTCCCATTACTTCGGATCTTCCAGCCGAATCCTAAATAATCAAAATATATTCATGCTTTGGAATTTGGACTGACTATTCAAATTCATGCTTTGGAATTTGGACTGATTCGGACTGTTTTGACCGCGCATGCGTTTTTAAAGTGTGTTTAAGTCCGGGACGGTAGCGTAGGTGTCTTAAGGCGCTCGCATTCATTTGCGAGCAATTTTATGGTAGAGAGACACCCGACTTCGAATCCTACAGAAGATCTTGTGAATTTATTTGCATCTTCTCTATAGGATTTGATCGATACCGTATTAGCCAAAATAATTCCTGTTCATATGACATCCAGATTATAAAAATCGCCATGCGTTATCGTTTCGATGATGGTGGGTGGGGTTATGTCGTCAATTCACTTCTCATATTTTTCATGCCAAGGCGTAAGAAGTTTCACTTATTTGTTTTTAATTACGTTTATTATTTATAATTACGTTTATTATTTATTTTTACTATACTCCCATACAAACTTTTATCCCCTATTCCCTCCTTAAAATGTGAAAATCCAAAAAACCGTTAAACACGTCATTATTTATTTATGATATTCTCACACAAACTTTCACCCCGTTACCTCAACTTAAAATGTGAAAACTCAAAAACTCTAAAACATGTCATTATTTATTTATGATGAGTAACTACCTACAATTGCAATTTTCAAGTTACTACCTTAAAAATACCGATACTCCCATACAAACTTTCACCCCCGTTTCCTCCCCTTAAAATGTGAAAATTCAAGAAACCTAAACACGTCATTATTTATGATTAGTAGTTACAATTCCAATTTTCAAGTTCCTACCTTTAAAAAAAATCGATAATCCCACAAAGTTTTATCCTCCCGTTTCCCACTCTTGAAATGTAAAAATCCAAATACCTGAAATATGTCATTATTTATTTATGATGAGAGTAGCTACAATTCCAATTTTCTTCTTTTAAAAAACCGATTTTCCCACAAACTTTCACCACCCGTTTCCCTCCCATAAAATCCAAAAAAACCCTAAAACACGCCATTTTTTATTTATGCTCCGTAGCTATATTTCAAAGACTTTCTTACAAAGTTCTCCATTTCTATCCCCATTCCCCCACTATTTCTAAAAATATTTTCTTAGCAGATGCTTACGTTATAAGTTGATAGATCAGTCAGTTAGTCGTCAGTCAGTCAGACAGTATCCGTCAGTCAGACAGAATCAGTCAGTCAGTCAGTCAGTATCTGTCAGTCAGTCAGTATCTGTCATTATCAGTAAGTTATTGGCAGTCAGTCAGTATCTGTCATTATCAGTAAGTTATTGGCAGTCAGTCAGTGGCAGGCAGGCAGGCAGACAGTCAGTCAGTCAGTCAGTGGCAGTCAGTCAGTGTCAGTCAGTTATTCAGTCAATCAGGACAAACGATTTTATATATTTAGACGAATGTAATTTTAGTATTATATTTTTTGCATAGTATTTTTTTATTTCGGAGAAAAATTAGTTAATTAGATTTGAGTCTTCAACTGATGAGGAGATAATTATGAAAAAATTATATGTACATACAAAATGTTAATTGAAGCTGAGCGTTTAAAACAATTAACTAAAAATAAACTAGTTAATGAATCTACAGAATTATAAAAAATAAACAACACACATCGCGCAAGCGTACCATTCCCATTCTCCAATTAAATTTGATGTGTTTTGGTTCCGGCGCAGTTTCAAAATCGTTTTCATTCTGAGAAGCAGAACAAACCTAAAGAGATAGTGTGGTGAGAGATGTTCATCGATATGTAAAAAACCACGTTTATGGCGAACAAATATCGGTATCGATAATCAATTTTTGCATAACCGAACTTATATTCTTACTACACTGTAAAAACAACGTAAAATAATAATTTGCTCACTTTGATGAAATACATGCACACCTAATTATCAAGGAATAAGGTATAGCAGTTCTACTTACTTATGAAGAGTATAATAGTTATTTTTGTATCTAGTGCGCGAAATGCTACTTTGGTGATCGAGAACTGAAAAAATAGTCGAGAACACAAAAGTATCTCGCGCATGAGATGCAAACAAAATTTTTTCTACAAACGTCAAAAATATTATTCTAAAATAAGTAACATGCTTAGCTTAATATGAAAAATAGTATTGAACTGGCTTAAACTGTAATTACTGTAACTATGGAAATAAAATGGCATTTGTTGACAATTATTTCAAAGTGACAGTTCTTGATAGTGACTTTTTATTCGCGTCAATTTCGTGCGTGATATTTATAACTGTAAAATAATGGAAATTTCGAGCGACGATGAAGTAAGCAGTACCCCACCTAACTTGACAGATGCGGCCAATTCAGTAATTTCAAATCTTTTACCGGAGAAATCGAGGCGCCAGTATGAAAATGCATATCAGCAATTTAAAGAGTGGTGTGAAAAAAATAAAGCCAGAAAAATATCCGAAAATGTGCTGTTGGCATATTTTGCAGAGAAGTCTAAGAAGCAGAAGTCTTCCACGTTATGGGCAATATATTCTATGTTGAAAGTAACACTCAATGTTAAAGAAAACGTGGATTTTAAGAAATTTACCAAGTTGGTTCCATATATTGTATTGATTAGAGAGGAAGTTGAACAATTCATAAGAGAGGCAGATGATGAAACCTATTTGTTGGTTAAGGTAGATTTTTGATGATTGTTTTATGTGTATTTAAATTACTGATTTCCTTTTAGGTTGTTTTAATACTGGGTATTTCGGGTGCTTGCCGCCGTGAGGAACTCACTAAAATGACGGTCGATGACATAGAAGATAAAAATTCCATTTTGATTGTTAAAGTACCCGATACAAAAACGAATATACAACGAATTTTTACAGTTTCAAATTTAGATTATATTGACATTTACCGAAAATATGCGGCTCTTCGTCCAAGTTATGCTACCAGTCGCCGATTGTTTTTGAAGTATCAAAATAAAAGATGTTTTAACCAAGTTGTTGGAATAAATAGTATTGGAAAGATGCCTAGCTTAATAGCAAAACACCTAAAATTACCAAATCCTGATGCCTACACGGGCCATTGTTTTCGGAGAACATCAACCACACTCCTTGCTAATACGTGGGCCGATATGTATTTTGAAGCGACATGGAGGATAGAAATCTTCAACTGTGGCCGAAGGATACGTGGAAGATTCTATCAACAATAAAATTCAAATATCAAATAAAATTTTAAGACTGTGAAATTTCAGGATCAAGTGCTGTCAACTCTACGGCAGTTGCTTGTAAATCAAAAATGGATAGTCTTCCAACTCCCAAAACTACGATATCACGAGCTGAATCTGAGTTATCTGGTTTAGGAATAAATATTGGTTCGTGCACTGGCTGCACCATTAATGTTAACATTGTAAATAATAAATAAAATTAGGTAGTGTTAAATTTTCTCACAATTTGAAAGCCTTAATTATTGTTATACATTAATAAATAAATGATTTCTTGGATTTTTGCTTGATTGAGGAACATAAAGGTTAAGATATAAAAATCCCATATAGTTTACATGCAGTGTGCGAAGTATTTCACACACTACTTCGCGCACGGTGTCATGGTAACGAAGGAAAATGAAAAAAAGGGTCACTTCGTATATTGTTGTCAATGCGCGAGCCTTGTTATTTTTTGACGTTTGTAGAAAAACACATTTTTTTACTTTAATTTCCACAAATGTTTTTGGCACCCTGTTTGCCATAAAGAATTCAGTAAAAATGGGTTTTGCATAAGATATCAAAATAAAGTAATTCAATGTCTTACCCAATCCAGTCTTTTCTTTGAAGAGTAGTGGTGTGTTGAATCCGTGCCTCTGAAAATAAGCCACATTCAATTCGTTTCCGTGCATTTCCTTGACTAGGTTGTGCGATGCAAACGAAGCATCTTCTAGTTTTTCCTGCAAGTTAAACGTTCGGTGTCCTTCGATATCTTCCTCGCCTAACGCCCAGTCCTCCGAGTACAGCTTCTTCTGTTTTCGTTCTCTCTGAAATTGAAAAAAAAAAAAAATATTGTTGAAAATTTGATAGTGAGCAATAAAATTAACAGAAAGAAAATGCACTCATCATCACCACCACACAATCGGGAAGACTAAATTTTTAAGTTTGCAACCATATTATATTATTTCGATTATTTTGAATGGGATTGCCTTGTAATTTTATTACATTTTTTTTAATTGTGTACCTATTATTAATTGCAACAATTCGAATGTGTTATTTAAAGGGATTCGTGTGGTAAATTATTTTAAAATTTAAGAATATTTACATACAAATATTACTTAGTAATATTGCTGTTTAGGTTTTCAGGGTGCCACAGGCAAGAGAAATGTGTAATATGTGGCACCATTTTGTTCTCTTTCAATATAGGAAAGAATTTAAAAAAAGTTCTTAAAATTTTCAGGATAAGAAATGGGCCAGTAAAATTTACTATTATGTATTTATTATGAAAAGGTCATGTTAAAGCATCAAAATACTGTAATGCGAGCCATTTTCGACCAATCCGGTCATGCTCTAGTCCCTCTCTGCGTTGGTTGGGCTGTTAAGGCCCCACTTGTCCCATTACCAAATATTATTTAAAGAAATAAGTCAACCCCATGGTGATACGACTATGGCTAGTCGTAGTGAATCACTCATAGAATGCATAAGAACGATAACCAATTTGGTAAATGCATATTTTGAGAAATGGCGGGGGTGCGAGGTGCTTTCTAGAAAAATCATGACAGTGGCGAAACTTATAGACAGTTTAATTTATGGCGAAGGGTATAAGAATGTTCGAGATACCACTAGAATTTACAATCGAATAATAAACTAAAATTAAATAAAAATATTCACTCCATGTTTTAATCGGCAACTATAACCATATTATTTGTTATTGTATCGGGCGGTAACGCCAAAGCCAGATTTACATTGTACAAATAATTGAATACATTCGCTTTTTAAATAAAATTGTAGTGTTAATATATAAATATAAATAATTTTGAAACAATACTTTTGGTGTGTTACTAAGCGAATTATTCAGTATATTGTTATTGTAAAACTTGTTGACATAACGCATATGTTATATTGTGGTTATAATCCACCTTAGTGGAGCGTCTTAACATACATACAACAGCAAACCATCGCCATCACCATTTTTAGGTCATCCTTGTAACAAGAAATAATTTGTATTTTATCCCTCTATTCAAAAATCGTAAGCATATTAATCGCCTATGTTGCCACAACAATTTATGAGCCCTTTAATTCAAATTGGACGCGAAAAAGTATTGTAAAAGCACAATTTCAAATGGATTTCTTTTTTCAATTCAGTGGAATTTTTATTTAAATCTGTAATCCTTCTCTATCTGTTAAAGCTTCCATATATAACTGAAACATTTAGTTTGAAAAATACTACGTTCGATTCGAGTTGCTAAAAAACATTTTTTTTCAGTCAACCGTGTTTAGTAAATTATTTTTCTATAAATAAAAGATAGTATAGGCAAATAAATACAGGGTGTTCCTAAATTCATGCGATAAAATTCAGGAGGTCATTGCTCGTATGAAATCAAGATGGGTCTTTCCTATAACAAAATTTCCTCAGCCCACCCCTTTCCGAGATATCACCCTTAAAAGGTGGTGACTAAAATTGAGTTTATATTTTTTTTCTAAAATTTCAGTAAAGCTAGAAACTTGAAATTTTGTAATTTTCGTGCATTCGCAAAGGACTAACCACGGGTATTTTTTCAATATTCCTGTTACACTATAGGGGGGTGAAATTAATTTTATTTCATAAAACTTCATCTCGAAAAAAGTTTTGATATGAAATAAAGTAAGGGTTGCTAATTTCACCCCCCTATAATGTAACAGGAATATTGAAAAAATACCCGTGGTTAGTCCTTTGCGAGTGCACGAAAATTACAGAATTTCAAGTTTCTTTATTGAAATTTTAGAAAAAAAAAATAAAAACTTATAGGAAAGACCTATCTTAATTTCATACGAGCAATCACCTCCTGAATTTTGTCGCATGAATTTAGAAACACCCTGTATATGGCATTTAATTAATAATGAGCCTTAAAATCCTTGTCATAAAATATGAAGATTAAACGTAAAATATTAAAATCAGTATTTCGTATTTTTAAACGTAAATATCTATTAAAATACTCACTTCATGGCAATTAAATAAGACATGTTATTTGCGAATAAAATAATGGAGAATTGGCAAATAATACTAGAAAGACGAATGCAGTAGGGTCGAATTTAGAAATGTGAAACTTTTCCTACGCCCCTGCTCACGCCACTGGTAATAGAGAAAGTTTCTTTACTGATAACAAATTATTTTTGAAATTTAAAATAAAACACTCTGTATCTCAATAAAGAAGCACATACATACAGGGTGTTAGTATATTTGACCGACAGTGCTCTATACCAGAGAGCTCTCGTTAATAATTGTTGAATTTTGATATAAGAACATGAACAAACCTTAAGGACCGAATTATTAACCTCCTGGTAAAGTTAATCGGCAGGATAAATTTTAACCTCAAGTTACGCCTATTATCAACACAATAATAACCCAATGATACTTAACAAAAGTGATGTACAATATGACAACGTTGGTTATTTATTATCGAATAAATGTCGAACTCCTATATTTTTAAATAGTCTAAACCTATTCACAAAATCATAATCATCCCAAAAATTAAATTGATCAGGTCTTTGATGTAAAATTCTAGGCCTTCTAACGATTATATTTTGTAAATCTGATTTAAAAATATCAATATCAAAAAATACATCCATTTTTTTTATTTCTGACAATGACAACTATCACTTTATACTGTAGTTATTATTCCTCTTATTCATTGTTTAAATCTTAACAGCCGAAAATAGTTGCTGTTTACTATTAAGAATTATTAGAGCATGGTTATCCTAAAGATAAATCGTAACAGCAGATTCAAAATTGCAATGTTTGTTCTAAAAGAAGGATAACCATAGATAAAATAATAATAATAATATATTATTTTATCTATAAGGATAACCGTAACTGTCACTTTACCAGGTCCTAAGCATAATTATCTAGATACGGGGTATTAAAAGTTTGAAATAAAAATTCAAAAATTGCATTAATCAAAAACGCCTATATTTTTTATCCCCCTCCCCTTTAAGAAAGTATTATTTTGGTATAAACTAACTTTTGAACAATTTAACCAGTGGCGCGTTATCATGGTTAGTGGCAACTTTTATCCCCTATTTTTACGTCACAGAAATTATTTTTTTTTTCAATTCTTTGTTCATTTTTATTTTCCTATCTGTATACAGATATAAGGAAAGTATAGGAATCATGATTTTTTTCGACGGATTTTTACGTTTTGAGGTCCCCTGAATCCGTTTTGACTATTTTCGCGATAATGTCTGTGTGTGTGTCTGTATGTCGCATAACTCATGAACCGATACACAGAAAAACACCAAATTTTAAACTTAAGCTTTATTCCAGCGTCTAATGAACTGATTAGATTTTGGGCAGAGTCGAAACATCTGAGGGGGTACTTTATAGGTGGTCATTTTTATATTTTATGGAATATATCTGTTATTTACGTTTGGAGAAGAAAATTCTTCAAATAAAAGTTACTTCTAATATAATTATCTATAATTTTTGTTCCATACAAAATTTTCCTAAAATGGTCCGTATTCGAGAAATTTTACAAAAATGTAAAAAAAATAAATTTTTATAAAAATTGTTCAAATAAAAGTTGTTTGTAATATAATTCTCTATAATTTTTATTCTATACAGAATTTCTCTAAAATGGACCGTATTCGAGATATTTGAGAAAATGTGTAAATTTCGAATTTTGAAGAAAACTCAAAAACGAAGAAAAAAAAATATTAAATTTTAAACTTAAGGTTTATTTCGGCCTGACGTAAAATGATTAGATTTTGGACAAAGTCGGAACATCTGGGGGGTACTTTATGGGACGCCGTTTTTATATTTTATGGAATATATCTGTTATTTATGTTTGGAGAAGAAAATTGTTCAAATAAAAGTTACTTCTAATAATATTATCTATAATTTTTGCTTTATGTCAAAATTTCCTGAAATGGTCCGTATTCGAGAAATTTGACAAAATGTGCAAAATTCTGATTTTTATGAAAATTGTTGAACTAAAAGTTCCGAAATAACTGGTACGTTTTCACTCGAAATCACTACAAATTTTCTCGAAATTTCCGGAATCATCTTCGAAAATCATGATCGAAATCGTAACCGAAATCACTTTGAAATCAATACGTCGCTAAAAAATGTAAATGTAGCAGCTTGTGGATCAAAAGACGGGGAATAGAAAAAAGTCATCGTATAAAATTAAGAGGGATTTTCAGACTAAGTCACCGAGTTTTTTTTAAGGTGATTTCCGAAATACGGGCACTTTTTGACCTTAGTGGTTTCTTCCTCGATTCCTTCTTAAAAGTCTAGATGCTAATTAACAGTTTTTGAAAAAAACGTTAATGATAAAAAATTGACGTTCATTCGACATTTACAAATTTTTACCTACCTCAATATACATGTTCTGGCACTAACCACAAAAAAATAAAACTGAGAAAAACATTAACAGTGCACACAAGACAATTGGTAAAATGACCTGCTTATATAAAAATCAGATGATCAATACGCTGAGCGCGAGAAAAACTTAATTTGAATAGCAAATATTTACATGATGCCGCGATGGTTGCATAATATTACTTTTTTTTAAAGATTTTCATATTTAATGAAAAATTTAAGTTAATTCTTTTTATATTTGGACACGTTTGTTAACTACTTGCTAGTACATACTAGGTATTATTAGGTACTGCTACTTTGGACCGGTAAATTTTGGTATCGTCGCCGTTGTGTTCCATAATCTTGAAATAACAGTTACTTCTGGAACTAGCAAGAAGCGGGAGTAATCGTAAGTGAAAACGGTATATAACTCAAGCAAAGAATACACAAAAATGAACGAGAGGTGACGCTTGTGCGCCAGTCGACTTG